AGGATCGCATCATGTAATTTGTAAATTATATTTTTCTTGTTGTGATCGTATGTCGATGATCAAGAGATCACGAGACCAACGGATCCTCGACAACCCAACCAGCCACGGGTCCAAGGCGATCGCCGGAGAACCACCGCAGCAGCTCCCACGGTTGGGCAAATTTTTTCGGAAGTCGCGGGCGAGCATACTTGGTGGATGGTGTCGTGCGACGTGTTCCGGGCTGCGAAGGGTTGGGCGGAAGAATCTGGAGTGACGATCGTGGATGTGTTGCATGCGGACGTCTGAGGCACGAGTCGTTGGCGGGGAAAGCAGCATGCTTGCCACGCGATAATCGCACGGCGTCGGCTGCGTAAGAGAAACCCGCTCGATGGCGATGCGCTAGTGGACGGTGGCAGCGCGAGGACCGGCGAGGCGTGCGACTGTGAGAAGAAAAAAAAAATCCGACGAGCTTTCATGGCGGCGATCCCTCAAGCGGCTTGGTGATTTTTCTTGTTGGACAAGCAGTTGGATATCTTACAGGATTCTGCTGCAGTAGGAGTTCCAGTAGAATTAGAAAAATCAGAAGATCCATATCTGATAGTTTCCTTGTTCAAGGAGACTCAATAATTAATGGCCATAATAGTGAATTTATTTATTCAAATTATATTATGCCAATTTATTATTTATTTATGCATGAGAATTAATTATAGCTTTATGCATGAGATTAATTTATTTTCATGAATGTTTATGCATAGAATTAATTATTTCTTTTGAATGAGATTAATTTAGAATTGCATAAAATGTTAAAAATCCTTGTTTAAAAAATTCTAAGTTTTTAGATAAGATTTTTAAAATTAAAGTTAATTTCAAAATTCATAAGGCCTCCATTTCTGATTTGTTGATAAATCAATTAATTGAAGTATGAGCTTCCCCATGAATGACATTAATGAAATTAATTGTAGTAAATTACCAGAACAAATTTCAAAGGGACGATTACAGGAAATCTTATGAGAGCATGCTGGCCCCACCTCCGAGACCATACAATCAAATTTGATCACCTTAAGATCGAGAAATGGGATTCCCTTAGAATGCAATTTAATTTTTAAACTCCCCACGGGTCACTGAATTTTATTTCATGGCCAAATGGAGACCGACTATTAATTTCGTTCGTCATGAATTTGGTTTTGACTTATGAAAATTAATGGGTTCTTGCAAAACCCTTCTCTTGTGAATGTTGATTACGTAGGGTGGCCACGTAGCATACGTTATTCTCGGTGTTTTGAGATGTAGGTGAATTTAAGTTAATATTGTTTTGAGGATGACAATTTTAACAATTAAATTAAATGTGTTTAATAAGTAAAATATTTTTTGTGATTCGCAGGCTTTATTCAACATGTCGTTCAATCTGTTATCTGCTATTAAAAAAGAAAATCAACTTACTGGCCCAAAATATATTGATTGGAAGAGGAGCTTAGATATTGTGTTGACTGCTGAAGGGTACAAGTATGCACTCACCGAGGCTTGTCCAGATGAGACCATATCGAATGCCACTGATCAGGAGAGAGAAGAGTATGCTCGGTGAAAGAAGGCTGATGATATGGGGAAGAGTTACATTCTGACTTCTATGTCAAATATTCTTCAACATCAGAATCAGCTTATGAACACTACGGCAAAGATACTCCTAAATCTCAAGGATCTGTTTGGACATCAGTTTAGGGCTGCCAGGCAAAAAGCCATGAGGACTCTAATGAACATGCGTATGGCCGAGGGCACACTCGTAAGACAACACACACTAAGGGTCACACAACTCAATGAGCCGAAGGTCCTAGGAGCTTTTATTGATGGGAAAACCCAAGTTGATATTATGCTCCAGTCTCTGCTGAAGAGCTTTGACCAATTTTGTTGGAACTAAAACATGCATAAGATGTTGATGTCTCTTCTGGAATTGTTAGCAGAGCTTCAGTTGGCAGAAACATCAAGTGTTAGTCGTCGAGCAAGCAGGGACTTCCTCTGCGCCCATCAAGGGCAAAAAGAGGAAGAAGAAGTGTAGGAAAGGCGAAGGCGCAAGTGGCGTTAGTCGCTCCGCGACCGGCTCCTCAGGCAGTGGCAAAAAAACCGAAAGGGAGGTGCCACAAGTGGAACAAGTCAAGACACTGGAAGGCCGACTGTCCTCTCCTCACGAAGGGAAAATAGGGTAATTATCATGCTTTTGTTGTAGAAACATGTTTAGCAGTTGTATCTACAGTACCGGGTGTGTAGATACTAGGGCCACTGATCATGCCTGTAGTTCCTTGCACGGGTTCCAAGAAACTAGACGACTTAAGGAGGGAGATATCACCATCTACATGAGCAATGCCATGAAAGTGGCGACTGTTGCAGTGTGAGAGATTACTTTATTATTAGTAGTACTAGTTTGGTTTTGAGACATTGTCTTTATATTTCGAGTTTTAGAAAAAATCTTGTTCAGTTTCTAGACTTTCTATGGATGGTTCTTGTACTTCAATTAATGACATGTGTTGATACCCGAGTTGACCCTCAATTACCCGTCTAATTAGAAGGGGGTGGGGTCAAACCGACCGAGGACCCAACCAACTCGGACCCGGACTAAATCGTTGGAAAAAAGGGCTCAACAAGGACAACCTGAAGGACGAGTACGCGTCCCAGAATCTCGAGTCAAGATGCCGAGTAGGAAGGGCGTCGACCTCAATAAGTGACCCCACAAAGGAGAAGACCGAGCAGCCGTAAGTGTCGGCCTGCAGGCGACCCTGAGGTCGAATAAAAAGATGTCACCGGTGAAGGCCAGTCAGCGAGGTTATAAAAGACGTGGGGCGGCGACATGCCGATGGGACGTTCCGTACGAGCTGGTTATCCCAAAGAAGCAAAAGCCTATGCCTAGACCTGACAGCATTTAATGCACGCCATGCTGGCATTTAATGCTGCAGGGATCATCATGGCCAATCTACTGACTACATTTAATGTCTGACACTACCTGTCATTCCCTCCCGCTGTGCAATGGGACGGCTTGAACAGTGTCCCAACAGTGCCCAGCTGAGAGTAGTATAAATAGCCCATTTATGTCATCTTAAAGAGGCAGTTGAACCCACTTAATTCTAGAGTAATAGCATATTTTATCTCTCTACAAAGCTTGTAATAGTTCCATGTATCACAGGAAAGTGCCGACCACAAGTCTCGAATGCCGAGCTGACTCGCAGTTTAATAAAAATTTATTTCCCTCCGTCTTATTTTCTTCATCTGAATTTTAATTAACCGTTGGCCGGAAACGTCCGTCAACAGTTTGGCGCTAGAGGAAGGGCATCATAACTTGCTTGGTGTCGAATTTTCACTTGTGAACCCAACAATCTCTCAACCTCATCACTTCTTTTCTTATCCTTTCGTGAAAAATGACATCGGCGAGGCACAAAGAGGCCACTCAGCAATTCGAGGGGCAGAACCGCCACCGCGACAGCGAAGGGACATCCCATCGACAACAGCTGGAGACGACCGTTCCTCCGGTCCCAACCTTCGCCGCGGTAATGCAGCACCCCGACGTCCTTTAGGTGTTGGAAGATGCCTTTACGAGGGCGCTTGCCAGCCACGCCGCCGACCCTACCCAGAGGTAACGCCGTCTAGAACACTAAGGCTCCCGCCAGCAACACCCTGCTAAAGACACCCCAGAAAGGTGCCGAGGATCGAGGTAAGAGGCCGTCCCACTCGAAGACTACGGCCCAATATTCTCGTCGCTCGCTTGTTATCCGCCAGAGAGGCGCAGATTCGGCACCCACGGAGCAAACCGGTGAAAGCCGGCCAGGCCCGAAGGCGAACGCCCGCAAGTCGGTGTATCACCGTCTGGGGGACAGGACACAGGTCAACCACGACCTTTTCCAAAAGACCTTCCTTTTTCACCCATATGTAATCAAAATAGAATCTATGCTTCTTATGAAAACAGGTAGTAGAGTCTTCCAGCAAAATGACACTATGGTCAGAGGAAATAACAGAAACATTTTTAATCTGATAATTAGGAAAAGTTAAAGCCCAATCAGGAGAAACAAAAAATCTATCTAGTCTTTCTTCAACGAGGTCCCTCCCTCTCCTATTATTAGACCAGGTAAACTTATGCCCCACTAATTTAGGCTCCACCCCTCCCGATCCCCTGACTAAGTTTCTAAAATCCTCAAAGCTATGATTCTCTCTGTTTTGAAATTAATGTAATGCATAATATAATTGTATTCTATACATCATTTACACTTTGTGTCTTAATATAAATTAAAATAAGAATTGATTGGCATCAACAGTGGCCTCATAAGTGACACGTAAGAAAGTAAGGAAATGTTATATAACACTTCATTAAACTATCCGTTCATGCCAACATTTTGTCCTAGTGGGGGTACTTAATGCATCATATTCGATCAAATTATCAACATAATGTATCTCTTCTGATATGATCCAAATCCGTGTATCTTTTATGAATAACGCCCAAATTAGTATATGTCTTTAGAAAATTTGCCTCAAATATCCTATTTGCATCTCTTACTATCAAAGAATGTATACCATTTTTTTTATATAATAATAAAAATAGAATGTTTTCTTGTTGAATCGTACATCATTATCCGAGTAAAAATCAAATTAAAGTATTTATACATGTAAGTCAAATTCTTGAATGAAAGCAATATAAATAAATTTTAGAGAAAGAGAGTGGGGAGTAGGAGTAGTGGTCCAACTGAGTCTATGGATGACCGCCTTTTGGAGTAATAAGGCAGAAGCAGCAGCAGCAGCCGTGTAAGATAAGGAGAGAGAAAGAAAGAAAATATTCTTCTCATTGGCATATGGGCATTTTCTGCTAAGATTCAAAACACATGCACTCTCTCTCTCTCTCTCTCTCTCTCTCTCTCTCACACACACACACACACACACACCAACTGTGATTCAGCTTTTTCCAGCTCCAAACCATCATCTTCTCCGACTTGGGATTCTACTAAGCGACTATTTAGTTTGCTTTTTCTTTCCTCCAACAGAGAAGAAAAATGATGTCTGAAGATGGGTTGTCCTCCATGAGAGGTTTAATCCAAGATCCCAACCCAAACCCTAATCCAAACCCTACCTCAAATCCATCCAACAAGCGCAAACGAAATCTCCCCGGCACACCAGGTAAGCCCATATATTACTTCTTCCTCACATAGAATCAATATCAACTCTTTTGTTTCGGTTTACGAATTAATGTCCTTCGGAATATATTTTATTCAGATCCGGAGGCGGAGGTTATCGCGCTGTCCCCAAAATCACTGATGGCGACTAACCGCTTCGTTTGCGAAATCTGCAACAAGGGTTTCCAGAGAGACCAGAATCTGCAGCTCCACAGGCGCGGCCACAACCTCCCATGGAAGCTCAAGCAGCGGGCCAACAAGGACCAGGTAAAATATTAAATGTTGATATATTAGTATTATTATTATTAGGTTATAAATTATATTGATGTGTGGATATTGAAGTTATTATGTATTTGTTACAGGTGCGGAGAAAGGTGTACATATGCCCGGAGAAGACGTGCGTCCACCACGACCCGGGTCGGGCCCTTGGCGACCTGACCGGTATCAAAAAGCACTACAGCAGAAAGCACGGCGAGAAGAAATGGAAGTGTGATAAGTGCTCGAAAAAGTACGCCGTGCAGTCCGACTGGAAAGCCCACACCAAGATATGTGGGACAAGAGAGTACAAGTGCGACTGCGGGACTCTCTTCTCCAGGTCAATACCTGTGGGAGATGATGGAAGTGTTTTTCCAGTTATATTTATGGACACAAAACATGATAAATGCATGTGAATTTAATGAACTTGTTCATTCTGTAGTCATCATGAGTAATTAATTATTGCCACTATATTTTTCACTAAGTTCATTCATTCGTTCTTTTTGTTAATTTAATGTTTTACATGGTGATACAGAAAGGATAGTTTCATCACACACCGAGCCTTTTGCGACGCGCTGGCGGAAGAAAGTGCTCGGTTCACGCCTTGTCCCAATCTCAACTTTAGAAGCAACAATCTTGTTCAAAACCCTATGAATCCCCAGTTCCCAGCAGCAGGCATGTTGAGGCCCCAACACCTCGACCCGGGCCTGGACCTGCAGAAGCCCATTTGGATGGACCATCATCATCTCAACACAATCGGGCCCAGCTCGGGTGTCAACAACTTCCAGCTGGCTCCAGGCACCACCAATCTTCCCGACTTGGTCCAAATCGCTAATACCCAAAGTAATCCTCCGTGGTTGATTCCCGGCAACAATATGAATGATAATAATAATCATCACATCAATGCATCATCATCAACATCATCTTTTATTCCTCGAGCGTTGAAAGAGGAGGACGAGAAGAAGGGGAATTTTTCCGAAGCCATAAGCTCCCTTTACTACAGCAACAACAGCATTCAGAATGAAACTAACAACAACAACAATCCCATGTCTGCCACAGCACTGCTGCAGAAGGCAGCTCAAATGGGGTCCACTAGGAGCACTAGCTCGTCCGTTTTCGGGTTCGGGCTCATGGACTCATCATCCGTTTTTCCGGGCCTCAGGAGCTACGGTTCCTCCTTGAATTTTCAAACCGGAAACAACAACAACAACGAGGTTGAACAGAATATCGGCAACTCCGAGAGCTTGGGTCACGGGCCGTTGATGGGCCCGGTAACCGAGCATCTGCTAATGGGGGAGATGGGTCCCGCCAGTTCGGGAAAGCGGAAATTTAACATCGAAGGAGAGAGTAGCATGACGAGGGATTTTCTCGGAGTGGGTCGAAATGAGAATAGGCAGTTCTTGGAGGACCAAAGCGACGAGCTGGCCAACTTTGCGGGGATGGGCATGGGCATGGACATGGGCGGGCAGTACAGTACAAACCACTGACCCGAGGGCGTAAATAAAATAATTCGAAAGTTTTGGGGTCTAAAACGTAAAAAGAAAAAAGTTGGGTAGCAGGTACGTGCAAAGAGCTAGCAACAGAAGGGATCTTGTGAAGTGTCAGAAGGGTGCATGTTACTAGCGCTAGAGACGTACGTGACAACAGATGAATTAAAAAGGTGACATGGCAATCACAAGAAGGGGAAGCATTTCTTGTTACTACTGCATGTAGAATTTTTTTTTTTTTTTTTTTTATTGTTTTTTAGGCGTTAATTATTTTAATTTTTATTTTTATTTTCTTATATGGGACCACAAAAAAAGGTTACTGTGTGCCTGTGATTCACAATTGTGTCAGTGTGACCTCGCTATATATGATGTATTTGGTGGTATGTTGGAATTGTTTTCGAACGAGGGACGATATGTTGTTTTTTTGTGATTTGTGCAACACGTGACTGCCCGTTCTTGAAATCTGTCTGAGAGTAGCATATGTATAATTAATTCGGTTTGCAATTTTTAAGATCTTATATTCACAGCAAAGTCGAGACTAGAGATCAGTTACTTAATTGAATAAGCAGCAAATGGTCGAATTAGCTGAATAGTTGACTCCAGTAGAGAGGACTACATTTGACACCTCGCTGGTTTGCACTTTTATAATTAATTCTTTCAAATCGCACATATATTCATCCGGACATTTTTCCTCTCTTTCTCATTTTAATGATTTCTTTTATAGGTATGATTATTTATTTGTTATGTTGGAATATACAAATTATTTTTAAAATTAATGTATACTAGTATGCGGATATTAAAGTACAAGTAAAAATTAAAAAGTTTTAGAAAATAAATATAAATACATTTAGTTCAAAATTTTGACTATATTTCTTTTTTTTTTTTGGATAAAATACATAATTGATTTAATTTAGAATGATGTTCGTATTTTAAACTCACATTGTGAAAAATAATAATTTTTGAATCACATTTATAAACTTATATGTGTAACGACTAACGAATATTATATCTATATGTATTTAATAAAACATTTAATAAAACCTATTTTCATTTCCCTTCAAAAAGAGTTATATTTTTTTAATTAATCACCCAATAATCTGCTAAAACCGTTATACCTTAATATATATATTTTTATTATTTATTTTTTGGATCATTTACTAAATTAATTCTAAATTTGGTAGTAAAATATTCAAATGTGTGACGGCTAATGTTGGAACTTAAAGTTGATTGACACATTCAGAACTGTAACCGCTATATTTTTTTTGCATTGTTGGAAGAAAAATATGATTTGCACATATTTTTTTCTTCTAAATATAAAAAACACCAATAATTTTTTTATTTATATTAATTTTCTTAATATATGCCAAAAATATATAAATTATTTTATTCATGTTACTAGTGTAATGTTGCATGGTTAAAATAAAATTTAAATATCAATTAATTTTGAATGATAAATACAATTTAAGAAAAAAGTAATAATTTTTATATGATAGAATTAAATGTCTAATTAATAAATACAAACAAAAACGTGTTTTATATCTGTGCAAATGCACAAGATCAAATACTAGTATTATATAAAACTTGCATTTTTGTTTTTTACATTTTCTTTCCAAGGTCGAATGTAATGTGTAATCATATTTATTTATTTATTGCTATATAGCAGCTCCATCTAGATCATCTGTTATAAAATTTTAAAAAACGTAACATACATCGATATTCTAACCAAGCAACACATAGACAATACTTTTACGAACAAGTCTACTCTATACGAGGCTAGATCAATCAACTCCTCCCTTTTCGGTTCTAGGAGTCAACTAATTTAGAGTAGACGGTGGTTAATCGACTAATCTATTTGAATTAACATCGTCAAACCCGAATGAATCATATCCAATTGAAAAACAATTGCAAATTGAAGTGCCACTCGTCAACAACATTCAACATTCGAGAATGAGAATCGAAAACCCCTTTTTGAATCCACTCACATAGATTGAGCAAAACACATTCAACACAATTCAAAACAAGAATCAAAATCCCTAACCCTAGGTGAATGAATTACTTCATTCTTGGATTCAATTTCTTCTTAATCAAATTGAAGAACATAAACTCAATCAACAATAATAAAAATATAACTGAAAGCTTACAATCGGATTAGGACTTGCAAGAGCTCGATTCCAAAGTCTTTGTTTCCAAAATCCAAGCATGAGAGAAAAAGAAAAGTGGAGAAAATTTATCCTAAAAAACTACTTACAAATCGATTCTTAGAGTGTCAACCTCCAAGATCAAATTCAATATAAAAAACTAGAGAAAAAACATGTTGGGACAAGAGAAAAACTTATGAGAAACGAGTTTGGGTGATCCCTTTAGGCTAAGGGACGAGCCCCTGTTTAAAGTCCTCCAAAAATCGAGCAGAAAATGGGATTTAATAAGTTTGGTCGTGACCTCTGCGCCTGAAGAGAGATCCGAGGCAGCGAGATTTCAGTTGCAGAAGAGTTCCATGGCCGTGATAATCCTCCGCTGCCCGCGGTGAAGAAAATTGGCTGCAGTGCGCGGCTTTACGTTGGACTCGTTTGAGCTTGTCCAAACTCGAAATTGAGTTCCGCTTTTTCTTATGCGTCCCTAACGAACCCTTCTAGCTACTTATGTTTGCATGGCCAACTTATTCTAGAAATCATATCCACCCGAATCTCTCGACCTGCACACCATAAATGACAAGAAGATGAAGAAAATAAAGAAACCCAAACGAAAATGTAGAAAAGCTCAAAATAAACAAAAACACGCAACAAAACACAAAACGAACTAAAAATAAAAGAAAAGATCTAAAATGGGGAAAAAAGAAAAGCAAAACAAATACGAAAAACGCAACAAAAATGGGACAAACAACTTCCCCGCACTTAAATCTTTGTTCGTCCCGAACAAAAAGAAAAGATGACACGAGCTCAGATAACGGTTTCAAATAAGAAGTGCATCAAAATGTTCAACCGAACAAATCGATTTACAACAACCGGAAGATCATATCCCTCAATTGTTAACTTGACCTTGAAATGACAAATCCCAAACACAAAAATATAAGAATGTGCATCACTCAGTTTCTTACATGATTATATGATATGTGCGCTCAAATTGGTCGATATTCAAGTTTCAACATATGTTTGTCTATCGTCTAATTTATCGAAAACAATTAAGTGAAAAAACTTGCAAATCAAGAGGACTTCACGGGTTGCAATGTAGGCTTTTTGGTCAAGGTAAAGATATATGTACGGGATAAGAAGCTCAAATAACAATCATAACTCTCAAGCAAATAAACTACTCAGGTTTTCCGCCACTCATCCGAATTCAACATGACAACACACTTACATCCAACGTAAACTCCACAAACAACACATATATGCTCCAATCAAGTTGCAACTTTATTACTTGACCGTTTTCTTCTTTTTTTATTACTTATTTTCATTATTTTTTTTTTATTTTATTTTGATTAGAGAGTAACTTTTTTTGAACAAGATCGAATCAAAAGGACAAGATTCTATAGGTTGATTGTAGTTTTTGTGGGCATGTGGTAACCGAGCTACCCGACTCAGGTCATTCTCAAAGGAAGACTCTTCGGAGCTTCGTTCACTATCTAGTCGCCAAATCACACAACCGAAAAAGTCCTAAACATGCTACTCGCTTGCAGGTTTGAATTTAAGCTAAACTAATCTACAAAATTAAGGGCAACTGAAAGGAATTAACAAGGCAAGAAAAAGCACGCAAGAAGATGAGAGAAATTTAGAAGGAAAGAGAGCTTTTGATTCGCCAGAGTCTCTATGATCAAACACACACAAATAACCGAACATTGCCATGCTAGCTAAAACCCTAGGAAGCTAAACCAAACTCTAGCACAAGACGAACAAGCATTCATCTCCTAATCACACTTAGCCAAGCACTCACGATCTAAAGATTCAATCTTTTCCTCCAAGCAACACAAACACAGTATCAATTTTCACAAAAACCAAACAAAGATATACGAAGTAATGGGGCTTAAGACTAAGTACCCACTCTCACATGCACTTGGAAAGAGAAACGGAGTCTAAAGCTCGAAACTTTACTCGAAACAATGTCGCCGGAGATTTGCCGAAAAACTTGATTCATAAGCTCCAAACTAAAACATGAAAAGAACAAAAAAAGAAAATAGAGAGGATTTCTCAACTTAAAAGTTGGGAAAAAATGAGGGTGATGTCCAAAAATACAAAGCACAGTGTCTTTTTATTGCTACACCGCAAACACACACTAAAAACACACATTTAGCCAAACACTCTCGAGGTCTCCAAATTTTCCGCGAGGTCGCGAGTCGGCAAGGCACTGGGCGTGCATGGGCACTCGCGTGGTCGCGGAATGGCCCGCGGGCGCGGGCGTGCGCTGGGGCGCGGGCGCTGGGGAAAGCAACACTCTCGACATTGCGGGATTTTCCACGAGCTCGCGGGCTTGGGGAGAATGACACTCTCGAGGTCGCGTGAGTTTCCACGAGCTCGCGGGCGAGGCGGGGCACGCGGGCGTGCTGCGGGCGCATGCAAGTGCGTGGGAATGGTCCCGGTGACCTCTTGATGCTCGATTCACTCTAATTTCTCGTACGCTTCTCCGATTGACTTGAAACTTTGACCCACGCTTCTCAAATCTTCTTTTCTTCGTCTTGAAATGTGTATGGCTCGAAAATGGTTCGCGTGGCTAGGACATGGTTCAGATGGCTCGGAATATCTCGAAATTAGATCGTTTCCCGAGTTATAGTAATGATGGACCTATTCAACACCAAAAAGACAAGAAAAGTACGCCGAACCACAAAAACACAATATAAGAATAAAAATACACAAAACACGATAAAATAGACCGGTCAACACTAAAACGAACCTAAAAAGACTCGACTAAGGCACATAAAACACACGAAAATATGCACAAAAATATAATAAAACAGCTCCCCCACACTTAACTTTTTGCTTGTCCTCAAGCAAACAAAACAACAAGTAGCT